AGAAAAAGGAAAATGTTTTGTGGCAGGTAGAGAAGATTTTAAAGAGAAAACGTGTGAAAGGGAAGACCTACCTGTTAGTGAGGTGGTTGGGCTGGCCGAGTTCCTTCGATTCTTATATGGAGGAAAGTGAACTGAAAGATATCTGATGGAAAGGTACATATTTCTCAAAAGCTCAGACTCCAAACAATCTTATTTTAATGAGAATACGCCTTATCATTTTCGTGTTAAACTAAATCAAAGGTTGAATTTTGATGGATTCTGGGTTGTGTCTTTAACGGAGATTAATTTTGGTAAACTTGACATCACCCACATGAATGATCCATATGTGGACGTGTTATGCAATCTGTGTGATAGTTCTTTGGCAGGTGAACAGCAGTTGCCTTTATTGAGACGGCTTGATCTCAGACAAGGTCCTTACTATAGCTTTGCATGTGAATACAATATTCCGATTAAAGTCAAAGAATCTCCACACATAGAGGTACGTATAAAGGCCAGTAACGGCATGTCACACTCATTTCTAAAGGAAGTGACATATGTGACACTGCACTTGAGACGGTATCCCTTCATTGATTAACCATGGAGTCCACACCTTTGTATGTCCCTGATTATGTTAAATGGACCCACTATTTCAAGAAACACATGAAAGGAACATCTGCCTTAGTGAATGGTAAACCACAGGTGAAAGTGATCCCGACACGACTTCAAGTGAAGACTGAAGAACCCAAGATCAAACTGGAAGTAACATCAGAGACGCAGAATATTGTTGAGAGAGCCAATGCCAAAGAAAAGCGACGGAAATCTTTAAAACGAGCTGCAGGTGACCAAATTGCCACTTCAAAGAAGATCCGTCAGACAGATAACATTCCATCAAAGACCGCTAAGGTTCTCCAGTGTACCCCTATTCGAGAAAACGACGTTTTCAGTTAATCATGTCACTGTTGAATGATAAAGACTTTGAGGAACTGATACCACCCTCTCTCAATCTGTTTATTTTACCTCCATACCAGACCAGCATCCATCAACATTATTTTGATGAGGTGCGTCCACTCAGTCAAATCAATGATTCTTCACCGTTGGAATTTCAAGTAACGAATGCTGGAAGTGATTACATTGACCTGAACCGTACCCGCATACATGTGAAGCTCAAGGTGAAACATGCAGATGGCACTGATCTCGATGACAAGGAACATATTGTCCCTGTCAACTTGTTTCTGCAGGCTCTCTTTTCCCAGGTGTCAGTGTATCTGCAGAATCAGTTGGTATCTTCTACAAACAACCATTATGCTTACAAGAGCATGATGAAAACTCTACTCAACTATGGAACAGAAGCTAAAACTTCACAGCTGTCATCTCAACTCTTCTACAAAGATGTGTCTGAATCTATCAATGATGTAGAATCATCCGATCCCTACACTGGTCTCAATACAGGAGTGCAATCTCGTGGTGGCTTCATTAATAATAGTAAAGTCTTGACCATGTCGGGACCATTGTATGAAGATATCTTTCACATGAACAGACATTTAGTCAATGGAGTGGATTTGACAATGAAGCTGTACCGCTCCTCGCCCCAGTTCTGTTTGATGAGTGGCAAAACAGGTCAAGATTACAAGGTAGAAATTCTGGATACCTACCTGAAGGTGTGTAAACTGAAAGTCAATCCAGCTCTTATTTTGGCTCACAACACCTTGTTTCAAGACAGCAATGCTCTGTATCCTTACACCAAAAGTGAGGTCAAGGTGACAAGCATCCCCACCACTCAACTGACACATACCATTGACAATCTGTCGAATCCTATTGCTAATCGTTACATTGTAGGCTTTGTACTCAGCAACAGCTTGAATGGATCTTACACTGGTAACCCCTACAACTTCCAATCTAGTATGGTGAAAAACATCAGCCTGTACATCAATGGTGCCAGTGTCCCCGGACGTCCCATGCAGGCAGATGATGTTGAGTCCTACGTGCAGATGTTTGATGGGATGTGTCTGTGGAAAGAAAATACAGGAAACGGAATCACTCGGAGCGACTTTTTGCTTGGGAGTGCCCTGTTCGTCTTTGACATTGATAAAGTATGCAGTGAAACCGACTATCTGAATCTGTTGAAATCTGGTAGCACCCGACTAGAAATCGAGTTCAAAAACGCCCTCACTGAAACACTCAGTTGTGTTGTTCTGAGTGAAAGAAATTCCCTCATTGAAATTGACAAGACCAGGAACGTGTTTGTGAAGTAAAAAACATGAAAGCCTCTGACCTTGCATGTGCTATTCAAAGTGACTCCATCTTAAAGTACCAGGTCTTAGGTGTGTTTGCCAAAGATACTTTACCTGTGCTAACTAGTGTCATGCTTGCACGTGGAGTGGGTCTCATTGTCAATACTGATCCATCTGGAAGACTGGGTCGTCACTGGGTGGCTATGTACTTCAAAGGAAATACAGGGGAACTGTTTGACAGTCTGGGTGAGCCAGTGAATTCCGTTTTTGACTTGTTCTTAAAAACATATGTCAATCAATACCAACACAACAGAAGACAGTTACAGTCCTCATCGTCCAACCTTTGTGGTCATTATTGTTTATATTATTTGTTGTATAAATGCAAAACAGAACTTACCCTTCAAACCTTTGTACAGATATTTGATGTGCAAGTCCGTTTTAACAATGATGAGCATGTGTCAAAGTTTATCTGTAATTATTTTAGATATTGTTTGTTATCTTGTCATACCTGTGTCATGTAACATACTACTGTACTTGTGTAACCCATTACAAAAATAAAATAAAAAAGAAATTAGTGTAGTCATTCGAGTTTGTTCTATAAATATAAGTAACTCAGCTGTAATGTCACAGTTGAATTATTGTGCTCAGAGTGTGATCATGGAACGTAAGTGTCTCTTACCAATACAAACACCTACCACCATATCTGTGATTGGTGGATCTTCCTCAGGGAAAACAGTTTGGGTGAAAAGGTTGTTAGAGCAGACTAATCTGATGTTTGACAAACCTCCCAACCTTATTGTGTACTGTTATACTGTATGGCAAGACATCTACAGTGACATGCGGCAAAACATTTCTAACATTCTTTTTATGGATTCCCTTCCAACTGAGAATGATTTGAAAATGTGGTCTGAGCAATCTGAAAAGAACATGGTGTTGGTCATGGATGACATGATGATGGATATATGTAAAAGTCCACTGATGTTAAATCTCTACACTACATTGTCTCATCATTGGGGAATCAGTGTTATAAATATTCAACAGTCTGCTTATCCTAAGGGGGATTGTAACCGAACTATTTCCTTGAATACACACTACTTCATTTTGCTATCTAACCCACGTTCTGCACATGAATATAAAATCTTGGCATCTCAAATATTTCCGGGTCAAGCCAAATATTTTACTGAATCATTTCGTGATGCAGTGGAGGGAAAGAAATTTCAATATTTAATGATTGATGTATCACCCTATTCCGATCCTCAGTATGGGCGTCTGCGCAGTGGTGTCTTTCCAGATGAAGTATGTATTGTGTACCAACCCAAATAAAAGCTACTGCTCAAAGTTATACCCACCAGTTGCCTGTCTTACCAATGAACAGATCAGTTGCTTACCAAGATCATCATGGATGTTTGCGGACGATTTGAAGATATTGCTAACGATTGTTCAGTGATTTCAACCAATGCTGAAGTGTATGGTCATAGCTTTTGTGAGAGATTAAAGTCCTTTGTCAGTTGGCCCATGCAAATGAAACAGTCACTGAAGACTATGGCACAAGCAGGATTCATTTACACGGGTCAATCAGATAAAGTCTACTGTTTCATGTGTCGATTGCGTGTACATAAATGGATGCCAGAAGATGATCCACTAACTGAACATTTCAGGTTATCACCTCAGTGTAGTTACATAAACATGATAGCTTCTAATACTGAATGAGAGACATTGGCTATGGTGTATGAGGAATATTAGAGTCTAAGCATACATATATATATATATATATATAAGACACAATTACCTAGTTGGATCATTTCACATTGTGATCTCCTCACTTCAATATGGGTGATTTACTGGAAAAACATCTGTCTTTTCTTCAAACACTACTGCAGGCTAATGTGAAGCAGAGAAAAGCTTTACTTCAATATGTGTCATGTGAACAAATGCATGCTATTAATAGCATGATGTTAAACATTTTGAAAGGGAATATTCCACTCTCACTGATGGATAAAACTCGCTTGCACCGTCATAGGTTTCACATTAGAACATTGGCTGCCAAAGAAGGTTTTCCCAATCGGGTTAAAAAGGAGGTGTTGATAAGACATCATTCCATCTTGCCTATTTGCATTGCTGCACTGTTAGATTACCTACATCATGAGCAGACCTATGGTTCTCCTGAACAGAAACACATACCAACGTCTAATAGACAACCAGGAAAAGGAGAAGACAGTGACACAGGAACAACAGATAATGACAGTGACTCCAGATCAGGAGACGAGTCCTCTGAGACCGAATGAGACCCCTGAAGAAATCACCCATGATGAAGCACAGATTAAAGCGAATACGAACTTGATTCTGGATCTACTTCTTAAGGATGTGTCATTAACTAAAACGATTGGCAAACTTGTCAAACTATGGTACTTTATCAAGGATCAGATCAGAAATGCTCACTTCAGACTGAATAATCAGTTCGAAATTGTTTTAGATAATGAGAATGTGTGGATCGGAACTAACGTTATTGACCTCATTCGTTTTACTGTGATGCATCGTGGGGCTGTTCCTTCAGGCTACCATGACTTTCTCAATCTTTTAAAAATGCTCCATGTACCGAAGCGGCTTTTGTATAAGCCAGATGTCAAGAAAAAGAACGACAAAAGAAAAAAGGCAAAATCATCTTTATATATAAAACGACAAGCACAACATGGTGTACCCGGTGCTAACACTACTGCAAAATTAAGAAAACTAGATATTTTCTAACTGTACATGTACATTGAATTCATGATATATATTCTATGTAACTTTCAGATTGTAAAGCAATAAAATAATGCTAACACATGCGACTTTTAGTTATTACTATCTTCCATGTTCATAAGGACTCTGAGCTGCATCTCAAGTCTTTCTTTTCTGTCATTGCAGAAGAAATGACTATGCATATAATCGGTGTCATTGAAATGCACAGTGTGCTGATCCTGAAACTCTAGCCCAAGGCTTACCCTCTGTTGCTTGGCTTTTTCCAAGATGGTATGAAGGGGCAGCTCATTCACTGCACGATCAAAGTATTGAGTAATACACTCGTCACTGTTCATCATGAGACACTGGTGATGTACTTGCGATGGATGATTAACTTCACATCCATAACAATTATCACAACATAACTTCCGAACAAGTCTCTGGAGTTCATTGAGATAGTGAGTTTCCAAGATGCCTACGAAAAGTCTTTTGTTTCGACGCAGCTGTAAGCGATTGGTTATTTGTCTCCTGTTGATGTGAATTTCACGCACAGTTACTGAATAGTTGGGTGTTTGATGATTCTCGTCTTGATGGAACATTCTTCTTGCACGCTGTAAACCTGCCTGCATGGCATCCTCATGGCTTCTTCGGAAGCTTCTACCTTCATAATACAGTATGTCATTGCCGCCGTTTCGTCTTAACTGGTAAATGAATCCGGTGGTACTCATGTTGCTGTAATCATAAAGATAATTAAATGAGTGAAACACTTTAAGTGTGATGATAACAGCAATTATTACTATTAATATTAGAATTATTATTATTGTTAAATTAAAAATGGATAACATTCGGCAAAAAAGGAGGAGGGTACCTGTATCAATCACCCATCTCTAAAATGTGGAACTTGAACAGCATTACCACATACTCTTAGACTGGTGAATACCCATAGGGTAAACTATATATACCATCCTCTAGTACATAACGTTTATCATCTAAGGGGGATAATGCTATTTTGCTTAATGACTCAGTGTATAAAGTGTTATTGTGAGAGCGAATGAGTGAATAGGAACAATAAAAAGGTTTCCTCTCCAGGAGACTGTCTTTGTATTTCTTATGGGTCAATTGCTTAGCAATGACAGATTTCTTTATTCCTTTAGCTGTCTTTTGGTTTGATACAGTGTTCTCATCTGATTGTATCAAAAAGGAATACATTTTGCTTTTCAACCCTACAAACTCTAAAATGATCTTTCCTGCAGCTTCATCCTTCATCTTTCCTGTGACTTTTTTGTTTTCATTCGAATACAATCCTTTAGGATCGTTCTGATCATAATTGGAAGTATCAAACAAATGCAGATTTTGCTTCATGAATATGTAGGGATCAAGCAAAGTCTCGTGTGGAGGGGCATGAATGTGCAAAAAGAGACTGTCTGTGTCTGTCATGAGCAAGTCCAATCGTTCTGGTCCATATTGCTGTTGCATGACGTCATAATAGAAAGAAAGGATTTGAAATTTGGCTAAATCCAAAATACTGAAACCAACAGCGATAGGTTGATCTAAAAGGACAGACACTTGCTCCATTTCCACGGACACAACATCTTCTGAAAACACTTTCACCTGCTTGAAATTGGTTTTAGCTACATAACTGCGAAATTGCTGTCTTTGGGTCACTAAGTGCACGGATTTCCGCTTGCGTTTATTCATACAGAACCTGCCAAACACACAATTATTCATAAGTTTATATCGGTCCTTGTCACAGGCATCAGTTGCGTGTTTGCGACTTTCCAAATTTAACTGAACATAGGGTTTCAACCAGGGACCTTGCTTGAACTTTAACACTCTATGAATGTGTTGGAGGACTAGCCCATGTCTCAAATACAGTTGCAAAGTTTTGAAATGAACCACATAGTTCAAGCGATCTTTTAAAGTAGCAAACAATTTCTTGCCTGAGGGTTTTTGACACTGGGAGGTATAGAACTGGCTGAGTAACTCTTTGTGATAAGGTGAAAAGTCCTCAAAGGGAATGTTGTCATGGGTAGGAGCCATGGGGAAAGCAGCATGAAGTTTGTGTAAATGTTTAGGATAGTGCAAGTCCACTTCCAAAATGTAACCTGTATCCCCTTGGGTATCTATTGTAACCCAATCAATAGTTTCATAATCTTGTGCTGACATGAACTGATAGTTACCAATAGGTAGGGGTTCCAGCATAACTCCAGAATAAAGACTGTTAAAGTCCATGTACAGAAGCACTGAGGCCTCTTTTTCTGGGTTATAATTAGACATGTATTCATTGTTGCTTTCGGCAAATTTCTTACCGATGACAGACACGCCTCCCCGAATGGAATTTTCCACAAAATTGTAACTATCTACATCAGTGAAGAGATCAAGCTTGACCCCGGTGACTTTCAGTGCTGCATCAATACAAAACCCAGGCATGGAATAGTAGTGACAGATGTCAAGTCCATAATCTGCTAAACATCCAGTTCTGAATGTTTCGACAATATCAGCCAACAACAGTGTGTCTACAACCACATACAACCGTGTAAAGTCAGACATTGTGTTGCATGCGAATGTATGCCACAATTCATGGGCAAAGACATAGTCTTCATCAGTAATGCCTTCATCACTCAAGGAACTGTAGAAGGATTCTTTAGGTGGCAACTGTGTGTCATTTAATTTTTCCCATGAATCCATGTACTCATAAGGAAAAGGAAGCTTTCGAGTCATTATACCAACATGCTGTGGGAACTGCTCTTTCAAGAAAACAAATGTGTCTAATCCTTTATTCATCTGATTCTTAGTCAGAGCATCTAAAGAGCTTTGCAAAAATTTGCAAGAATCTAGGAAGACCAGATCATTGTCGACAGTAAAAGACAGAAACTGTTCAGAATTATGGGGTATGATCTGAATACTTCTCTCTCCAAATTCACGTGCTGCTTCAAGAATAAGATGCGTATCATAACGCTCTGAATTATGCAACATCAGATACACTTTCTTTTGCAGCTGGAAATTTAGGTTACACTTGTTGTGTAATACTTGTCTAAAAGCACCACTGAGATGGTCATGATCTAACACCCTATCTTTCCCTAACTCTTTTCCACATAATCCACACTGAGTTGTGTTTGCTATGCTTGTCCTATCCTGATGAGATAATTGCATGGGAACAACATTGGCAAAGATCTCCTTAATTTCATCATATTCTCTTAAAATGTCTTGAATAAAGTGTTCTGCTGCATCTGAACCTACATAGGTTTGAACAGATTTCGAATACCGCTGCTCTGAACAAATAACTTTGTAAGCATAGGCACAAGGAACATGTCTGTTCAAACGCGATGCATGATTTTCGACTGGCAACAGCAAACTTTCAAAATCGGCCACAATAAGAAATTTAGCTCTTTCTGTTTTAGCTTCAGATCGTAATCCAAACTGATAGACTGCTTTCTCGGGTTTAGGCATATTGACACGCTGAGCTTTATCAAAACAATACCCCTTGTGCTTATTCAACCTTTCTTGTGAGCTGTATGTCCACAAACATTTTCTGCAAATATAATACTGGTTACTACGTTTTTTCTCAGGGTTTTTGACAAAATTTTTCAACTTAGTGATCAAACAAAAATGGGTGTCTGCTTTCGTTTCTACATCCATAAGTTCATGACCCTCTAGGCCTATGAATCCTTCAAAATCTTCGGGCTCATTCTCTTGTGAAAGCATCAACAAATCAATTTGACTGTCTGGTTCTATGTTGGATACGTTGCTTATGTAAAGTGGATAGAGAGTCTTATCTTCGAAGCCATACACATTGATACTCAACTGATTGACTTGTTCAAATCGTGGGATTTGTTTGAGTGTCATCGGAAAAGTAAACCCATCCAAATTCAATCTGTTCACAAAAGGTTGATAATGCTTCACCCGTGTTGGATGATGCAGAGCGGGAAACAGTTTGGCTAAAATGCTATAGATAAAACACATCTCATCATTGTTTTCTACATTCACAACACTTTTAGTTTTGTATGCAATTTCTTTGGGAAGAGGGATGTATGTACCGCCTTTAAAAGGCTTAAATTTAACGATGATCACTTTCATCATTGCAATGTCTAGCACGTTTAAATTAGAATGTTCACCCTGATAATTATCTAGTGAACGCAATATCTTGTGCATGGCTTCAAGGTATTGATCGGACAAATTGGTTCCTTGTGTAGCTATGACCATTGTGCTTCGAAAGTAAGCCTCGTGAATATTAGCTGTTTCATCTTCAGTAGGTTTAACCATTCTGATGTGAAGACATAATCCCCATTTCACTGACTGTTTCTCTCTGAGTTCTGTCTTGATCACATCAATAATGACAGCTTGTTGATTCACCATAAAATGTAAAGCATCTGTAGCACCCTGTCCTTTAAACTCATACTCTCTCACATCTCCACCTAAAGATTCGCTGGTACATGGGCGAGCATGATCAGAAGTGTCACCAACAGGTTCAGGATTAGGAGGAGTACCTGGTGGGGAGGGAATGGGAGGCAAAGAAGGGTTGGATGGAAGTGCAGATACTGTAGCCGTTTTTTTCCTACTTAACTTGCCTTTGCTACCACCCCACATATCATGTCCTGTTCTATTCTTATGCAGTCGCAATGCTTTCGAAGTTGGAAACATTGTCTGACAAGTCTGACAGGTTACATCATTTTGCGAAATCTCGTTTATGAGGTAGGGATTGGGATAAGAAGGAGAAACATCAGAGGAGGGGATGGGCGGTGGAGGGGGGTAGGAGGAAGGAATGGGAGGTGGTGATGAGGTGGAAGGAGAATCATATTGCGAAGTCGTGTTTAGACAATGTGGTAAGTGTGATTGAAAAGCAAGTTCATGGGTAAAGTGTTGAAAACACAGTGAACATTGGCAAACCAAAGGATTGACTACTTTTTGACAGCTTTTCACATGTCGTTTTAAACTATCTTTTCTGGAAAAATATTTTCTACAATACTGACATGAAAATTGATCCCCAACTTTCCCACATATTTGTTGATGTCTTGTTAAATTTCTTTTAAAACCAAAACAAGTGTGACAATTTTCACAGTAGGAGTCTCTACTCGTGGTGTACATAGTCATTAAATAGGTATTCACCAACTAAGTGTGTATGAGTTGGTAGTTACCTGAAAACAAAAAAACAAAAACGAACATCAACTAAGCATTAAACTAAAATGGTTACTATCAGTTTTAAGTATTATATCGTGATAATAAGTTTTAAATAATACGTTAAGTGTATAAGTTTTAAATAATCTAACAAATGTCAAAGTGTAAGTATGCAGTAAAAGTGGAGTACTTGCTCTTTTGCTGGAGATTCCTATCCTAAGGATGCGTGTTAATGGTTAACGTTTCCTGTACACTTTTGGTTGATGTTGCCTTGGCAATTTCTCAGACGAAAATGGTGAAAAATATAAAAGTGAATGGACTTCTTATTCCAAACTATACATTTTGGAGCTCTATAGAAATATTAGTTCAAACTTAAGTGCAAACAGCTGCTAACAATGAACATGAGTGGTTTGGCTGCTATTCAAAACAGTTTCAGGTTGCTTCAAGACAGATGTATCAAGCGGGGTGTATAATAGGGTAGTACTATGAACTGCTGAATCACCTTGACCGAGTACACAAGCAATACAACTTTTTTAATTTTATTTTTGTTATTGATGGGAAATGTTTACCATGGGATGGTACTGAAAACGTGTCTCTTTAAAAGCACAGGTGTTTCTTTATGAAAGACTATATAAAAATGAACTGCTGAATCACCTTGACTGAGTACACAAGCTATACAATTTATTGTTGTTGAGTGTTTACCATGGGATGGTGCTGAAAACGTGACACTTTAAAAGTACAGATGTTCCTTAATGAAAGAGCTGTATAGAGAGTGTGTTACTAAAAACTCGATATTGATTAAAAATGATAGAGTAACAAGTGGTGGCTTTGTGGATTCGCTCTTGTTAAGTCTATAGGGCTGCCGACTGATCAAACAGGGGAGTATCTAGAAAACGTACTAATTAAAAATCGTATACCATCACTTACAAGCAAAGTATAGTGAGTCAGAAGTAAATGTATACTCCATTTGTATGTGGGGTGTAACAGTTGATACCATTTGAAAAGAACAAGGTAACATAATGAAGTAGTTTTTCCCGTGAGAAAGTGTCAACATGCTGAATCACCTTACTTGAGGAGTGAGTATAAATACAACGTGATAGTGGTTAGTGGAGAAGACACTTTACTCAAAAATGTCTGACAATCACAACCACACTACGTTTGAGTGGGCTGCTGGACATTGGTTGTCCATCAACTTGTTTCGCGATGATGCTTGGGTGCATCTTTCAAACTACAACAGCAAAAAGGAAAGGAAAACCATTTCCTTGAAAAGCAGTGTATTTAGAAAACTGTTTGAAGATCGCGAACAAATTCTATCTGCTTTGGAGGGCTATGAGATGGCATGCGAAGTTCCAGTCATTCCGGGTATTCCTCAGACGGGAAGCGACATGGTACCCCCACCTCCGCCCTCTTATCCTGCTGCTGTCGGAAATATGCCTACCGGAACGATGCCAGCTGGTAAAACGCTAACAACAGGAAGAACCAATCCGGTAACTAACCAACTGAAGCGGGGTTATGCTGATGGTAAGTTAGTTTTGATATAATACAGGTGTGTTTTAATGTTGTGGTTACAACAGTTTTATCATTAAAAACAAGCATGAGTAGTAGTTTATAAATGACTTCAGCTCTGTATTTTCATTTTCATGGGTATAAACTTTTGTTTAGTAGCCTATTTCATAATGGTGACTAACTTGCGAGCGGTAGTGTACAGCCATTGCTTATATTTCGCGGTTACTACACTTTCTCATTCGGAACAAAGCATGAGCGGTAGTTTATAATGACTTTAGCACTGTATTTTGCATTTTCACGGACATAAACTTTCGTAAAGTAGTGTATTTACAACGGTGACTAACTTGCGAGCAGTAGTGTACAACCATTTAGGAATCAGTTTTGGTACTGCTTTGAGTGCTTTGGATTATTATTATTATTATTATTATTATTAATAATTCACCCTTCCTTTTCAGCCATCGAGGGGTACAATGTTCGTTGAGACGAGAAAGAAAAAGACTGCTTCAACGTAGATTTATTTACATCACGGATATTATTGCCACATACGCAAGCATTTCACTGTGTTTTCTAAAATAAAAAAAGCATATTTAAAATCAGAATGTGTGTATGTTTTATGTTTCAATTCATAGTTATTCGCTCTCTTGGTATATCAATGCGTGATATAAGACACTTGTGTGATACGAGTTACCTCCCTTGGATCAGACGAGTCAGCCGCTCTCTTGGTCTAACAATGTGATATGAACCACTAGTGTGATACGAGTTACCTCCCTCGGATCAGGCGAGCCGGTCGCTCTCTTGGTCTGACAAATTGATATGAGCCACTAGTGTGATACGAGTTACCTCCCTTGGATCAGACGAGTAGGTCGCTCGCTTCATCCGTATTTCGGTATATGTATTCATACCAACCGGCTTTCTTTGTTTTGACGGGGTTTACCAGTGACAACCGTGAAGGCTAATGACTTGTTTCCAACTGGTTTCGAGGTTATATATATATATATATATATATATGTATATATATATATATATATATATACATACATATATTATATATATATACCACAATCAACTCTGGCGGGTTTATCGGAAAAACGCTCGCAAGACTACAACGTTACTAGATAAAACAAGACATAAAACATATATTTTTATCATAATCATAGAATTTATTGTTTACAAGGATTAATGCGTTATTGATTACAATTCTGTTACTTCCCGCCTGAGGTGAGGTGGTTCATCGTGCTCCTCCTCCTCGCGACGGTGACGGTGAAGGGTGCGGCGGGCATTCCGTCTCCTGCGGAGAAACCACCGCAAAGCGAGTCCCGACGGAATGCCCACCGCAGCCAGGACAGCCATGATGAGGAGTGCCGTCACCTCCGACTTCATCACTGAAAAAGTAATAATTAAATTAAAGTTAAAAATTAAAGTTCAATTAATATAAACTCCAAATCCAAGTATTACATTTATAACTTCAAATTTACCACAGACACGACACTAAATTATAATAATACTTACCACAACCACGACACTCCTCATCATGATGATCATCATCATCATAGCCATCGCCGTTGCTGATAGTGTAGGGATGGGAGGGGTGATAGGGTCTTGCTGATGGGTAAATGAAGTGAAGAATAGGTAAAAAATAAATAAATAAATAAATAAATAAATAAATAATTAAAAAATAAAAATAAAAATATAAAAGTGTTAGAATAAAATTTTAACATTTATTAACTTTAGATTGAAATGTAAACAATTCTATCTCATTATCTTCTATATCTGGAGGAGGTGATATATACCTTGTATGATTACCTTTCCTTTTTCGATAAACCAAATAAAAAACCATTAACAGAAAGAATATGATGATAATAATAATAATAGTTATACCTACGATAGTAGAATCTGATAACCGGGTGCTTCGGATATCAGCGGTGGAAGTTGGTGAAGAAATATTAGCAACAGAACCGGTAATAATCAGAGTAGATGATTTAACAGAAGAAACAGTAGAAGTTGTGGAGGTGGTAATAGCAACAGGGTTAGTGCCAACAGGGTTAGTAACAACGGGATTAGTAGTTGGAGAAGTAGCTGTAGTAGACGTAGCTGCAGTAGTAGCAGTAGTAGTAGTAGCAGTAGGGTTAGTAACAACAGGATTAGTAGTTGTGGTAGTTGGTGCAGTAGTAGTAGCTGCAGTAGAAGTGGAAGTATTAACCGTAGCAGGAAACAATGAGAGGCTATTAATTCTAACAGTAGAGGAAGTAGGAGGGAGAGTAGTAATGATAGTGGTAGTAGTAGTAGTAGAAGTAGTAGTAGTAGTAGTAGTAGTAGAGAGAGATAAAGAAATAGCAGTTGTTGATAGCTCTGAAAGCAAAACAATAATAAAACAATATAAAGTTTGTGCAATACAAGATTTCAAAATAAAAGGTTCAACAGAAAATAAAAAGTTTGTAACTAATTACGAAAAATAACAGTCAATCAGACTAAATATATGAAATACTTACCACTGCACCACTTGCCATTCACCGGCACCTGAACGCCGACAACACGGCTGCAGTCCACGTCTCCTATAATTGCCTGTGAATAGAATAGACTAGACTGTGAACAGGACAGGATAGGACGGGACAGGACAGGACAGGACAGGACAGGACAGGACAGAAATAGAATAGCATACCTGCAGTTGTGGAAACAAATCACCGTTGATTAGCAGCAGTGATGGTGAACCGTGAATTCTTATGACGGATATTCCTCGATAGAGTTGACCGGACAAAAGAGAAATTGACTTATGCTGTTCGGTAGAGCATGATAAAGTTGATCCTCCGATCCATGAGCACGGCAAAGCATCACCATGTGAAATACCGACAACAACGTAGATCAAAACTATTATCAACATTTTTTTTTTTTTCTTTCTTTCTTTTTTTTTTTTTCTCTCAATGGTATAAATTAGCGATTTCAACGGTTTTTATATACAATTAATATCGTACTCTGATTGGATATTCAATAACAGCCAAACATTGGCAATACATTAACACATGTGCAAAATGTGATCGTGCTGATTGGATAAAACAATACCACCATACCACAACCCACCCGAAATTGACAGTTCATTGTTATACGTGCAAAATGACACGTAGTAGAGAGATGAAAGCCGCTCACATGAGCGTCATCAAAGGAAAGTCGATAATGGAATGAAATTAAAGCTTTGTTACAAGTGACAACGAATAACCTTCTTTCTAGTTACAAAGAATAACCAACGAAAATAAAAGAGATACTCACGTTGATAAGCGCAACGACAATTCCAGGCAACTTTGAAGGTTTTTTAATTGTCTCCTTGTTAAATAAATAAACACTTCTCCGTGGATTATAATTGCTCCTGTAAAATCCGTACGAAAATAAATTTTACAGAAAATACTGATATTATTTTCTATCTGTGGATTTTGTAGAATAAAGAGCAAATTTCGTGATGAAATAAAATTTAAAAAAATAGAATGACGAAGTTGCCTAATACCGAAATTATAATCTGTGCGAGTGGGATTTCTCAGCATAAACGAAACGGACATTTTTTCACAGGCAGAGTGAAAAAAAAACTAACTTCGCACGCTGCTAGATTTATAGAATCTGACGTCTGAATGGACTTTTGTAGTTGAAAGGTCATCCATTGTGTACGACTATGAAAACATTGTGTAGAGTGATCAAGATGAAAATGAATATAGGGTATAGACATTATTTCCTTGCGACTGTTGTAAAACATGTATTATCAGTTGGTCTTTCCTCACCCCAACCGCCTATTCTGTCCTGACCAACATATATAATCATCTTAAATCTTATAAATTCATTATATACCGTAAACATGTAATAAAGTTGCGAATGGGTGATAGATTTACGTTCTTTACACAATGTGCTATTAATACTGATTGCAATGCATATAGTTAAAATTAAATAATAAAATAAAAACTTACCTTTTCAGAATTTGTTTTGGAATACTCTTTCTTGGAAAAAATGCTCCAATAGATTAACAGATGAAATTATATCCCGAATTTCACCTACTGACAGCTGCACTTGTCCATTTGACTGATTTACAGTTAACACTTCAGTCTGCCGGTTCAAAGTAAAATGTGTTGAACAAATATCATAAGTTAACAAAGCGTTATGAAGGTGAAAACTATTTCTATAAATTAAAATTTCGTCTAAAATATAAATTAAAAAAGATTTCAAAATTGGTTTCAGATGATTGCACACGCTAATAGAAGTATTTTCGTTATAAAATTCGATGTTATATGTCCAATCAGATTTAAAAGAGATTTCGAACGGCATGACAAGACAGCTGAATACTAAAAAATAAATAAAATCGCATACGCTATATATTTATATGAATCTGTAAAACATTTTTGTGTGGTTTTTCTAACACAACGAACACCGGTGCTATTCAAAGTGCGCGTGACAAATTAATCGTATTTGAACGTATTCTGCTTGGGGATATCTTGACATTGTAACAGTTGACAGATTTCGTTAGATAAGATACATAATAGCAACCTACCGCCGACGTATCAGTTGTCAAATTTCGTTAGATAAGATAAATAATTACAGCCTACCGACGTCGTTAGTAAATAGTAACAGATAAAGAATAGACTCTGGTCTACTGATTGATATTTGCTTTTCCCACACGTGTTGAAATATAAGTTTGCGGTTTGAAAATGAATAAGATTTACTTTTCCCACATAGGTCAACAAAAAAGTAGGAAAGAGAAGTATAAAGCGTAGTTGTTATAAAAGAGCGGAGGAATAGTTAAGCTATACATTTTAGTACAGCAAGGGGTACTTCGAAAAAAACAAACCCCAAAACACCACCAGAAATTAGATTTTACAAAATGACGTCTAAAGAGGTTTTTTTAAGATCGCTTGGAATACAAAGTGAAACCGCTGAACCAAACAATCGATCAGTGCTTTTAGTGGAAAAACAAATTCGTTGTTTGGAAGCTCAGACGTTAATTGCTGATTATGATAAAAGAAAAGAAAAACTTCGAAATGAGATGAGAAGAGTGGCAAGAAGAACACATACCTTCTGCAGAAAATATAAACGTTATTCAAAACAAAGAACAAGAAAGTGGTTGTGAGAAAATTCAACAGAACACTGTTATGTGTTTTACGTACCAACGATTCACTGAGTGAACTGTTTTCGTGTGCAGTAAAACACGAGGATATGACGAAACTTGTGCAAGAAAAACTTGAGGATATAACAAAGAACAAGAAGAAAAAGTAGATGTGGGAAAATTCAATAGCACTCTGAAGAGTGATTTACTTGCAAACGATTCGCTTCGGGAACTGTTTTCATGTATAGTAAAACTCGAAGATATTACGAAACATACGAGTAAAAACTTGAGGTTGTTGAAAAATGTGACAGACATACACTCGTTCGTATATTCGATGAAATATGAACAGTTATTGTTAAACTCTAATTTGCTATGTTCTGAGCTTTTTCTTGTGTCATACACTGTATCGGGAAGCGATCGGCTAGTTAGTGATTTAGTTAAAAGTATATATTAATTGATCCTGACTGATTTATGTTTATATATATATATATATGTAATCAGGAGAAGCATTTTCATAAGCCAGCTCGGCTTGTTTGCTAAATACTGTCATGAACAATTGATGGAATAAATATGATTAAACCAAATATGAACTGAGCGGATGGTTAATTCAAACGGAATATATGGAGGAAATGATTAATGAAACAGTGTTGATCAGTCAAAAGGTAAGTTCACTTTTATTTTTCATTATTATTATTACATCAATTAGTTATATGTCATAAAGCAGAAAACATACGAATTACACATCTGTCGATGGGTATAATGTATACTTTCTACTCAAGTTCTAACATAATGACGAACACAAGTAACAGCGACTAGTTGGTGATCGTCTAAAAGCAACCTTTAACCCTTAGTGTTACGTTAGCATACTGAAACAGATAAAAAGTTAAAGAGTGATAGAAATGTTAATAGATAAAGGTTAATGAATGCCACTATGAATAATAACATAATATTTTAACACTTAGTGAAACGTGAATGAAGAAGAGAAAGAAAATGTTTATAATGAATTGACACCGGTGAAAGGGTTAACAGGTTCAGCGGTCAAAACCCACACACGAATAGATTTACTCTTGCGTGTAAAGAGTGGGGTGAGAGAGAGCTACCTCTAGTGTATTGATACTAATGTGCGGTGGTGACATAGTTACATGTTTGAACAGAGCGAATATATACAGAGCCAGCCTTACTGCTGGTCTCCTTTAGCAAACTTTTGCTTCTATTGTGTGAAAGGTATTGACTGCCCTCTGTGGTATGCTCCACAAGAATGCTTTTGTTTGTTTCAATACTCTATGCGCCTTTAACACTTAGTGAAACGTGAATGAATTAGAGTAAAATGATTATAAATGAATTGACTTCGGTGAAAGGGTTAACAGGTTCAGCGGTTAAAACCCACACACGAATATATTTACTCTTGCGTGTAAAGAGTGGGTAAGAGAGAGCTACCTCTAGTGTATTGATACTAATGAGCGGTGCCATAGTTACATGTTTGAACAGAGCGAATATATACAGAGCCAGCCTTACTGCTAGTCTCCTTTAGCAAAATTTGCTTCTATTATGTGGAAGGTATTGACTGACCTCTGTGGTATGCTCCACAAGAATGCTTTTGTTTGTTTCTTTACTCTACGCTCCACAGGAATGCTTTTGTTTGTTTCTTTACTCTACGCTCCACAGAAATGCTTTTGTTAGAAAAATTCCATGCTCCACAGGAATGCTTTTGTTAGAAAATTCCATGCTCCACAGGAATTTGTTGAAATTCTATGCTCCACAGGAATGCTTTTGTTGGTGCTCCACGCTCCACAGGAATGCTTTTGTCCGGAAGGTATTACTTTCTCTCTACTCATTACTTATTGGTCTATTCTTTTAGGCAAAGCAGGTTAGGTCACGAGACTAGTTGTTTTCGTTTTCCCGGTAGCAAAGTAATATTTGTTAAGGATTAACATGAATAAGCTCTCTAAACAGACTTTCAAGAACAGAACAGAAAACAACATTAATGAACATATTTGTTTACTAGATTCGAATCACACAATGATCCCCATATATCCCTTCAAATCTTATCCAGAAAACGTGAAACGTCAATAGCTGAAATATAAACAGGGGCGAAACTACCATTGTAGCAGAAATAAAATTGCTTACACCTAAGAAAAAAACACAATTTGTTTTTACACCTAACAAAAGTACATTTCTTTTTTAAATAGGTAAACCTCAATTTACCATCTATGCAGTAAATTATTCATTCAAACTCTACCAGTCGAACATGATATTTATTGTCTAACTTGAAAATCGGAATCTTTACGCACTTTAATATTTTAGTGGTTGATGGTTTATCATAGCTGTGAAAACCCTAGTCACAATGCCAGTGAGTTCTGCCACTGCAGAACGTTCATTCAGCGCAATGAGGCAGATCAAGACACACCGCAGGTCCACACTGACCAACGAGAGAATGAGCTCTTTGGCACACCTCCACACCCACAAGGGCACGGACAAAGTGACTGACCTCTTGTCTGGAGGACGGAACCGCCGAATTGGCCAAATCTTTGAATTATAACTGATTTGTCACAAACATTTAAACGTTAATTCAAAGGTCAAGATTCTGCGATTCTGTCAATGACTTGGTGACCTTATATTTAATGTGTATTTCATTGTTGTGTCGAAAATGTGTTGGTGAAACACGTATATATATTTCTAATAAAAGAATATAATAAATAAATTACCAGTATTTGTTACAAATAAAATGAACATTAACGGTCCCCAAATGCTTGCTTGTTTTCACTTAAACTTAGCCTAGTTGCGCCCCTGATAAAGACAGATATATAAATCTATGTAATATTGCAGTGAAGTATGTTATAAGGCATCAGTACGACAGCAGTAATCATCATGGCATCTCTGTCGACGAAAGTCAATACTGAAGTCTTCATCTCGTACTGCGATAAAACATCTTAAATTATTCCTGCACTTCCCCTCATCTTTAAGGGCAACATTGGCTTTATTGATACGTCTCATCAGGGAGTAGTGAAGATTATTGTATACCCCTTGTTATCGTGTTTCACTCAGCTATAAAATATTAAAAATTAATAGATTACCCCGTTTCATTTACAACCATAGAGTTGAACGCCAGACCAGTCGTATTTTCACGTGCATATATTTTCCTAAAGCATACAAAATGTCAACGAAACAGATTCCATTGGGCGTAAAAGGGTGAAAATTATATGAATGAATCACTGATAACCAGTGATGACACAGGGTGTTCCGGAAATGGATAAGCAGGTGTTATCTCTCGGTTATATATTATATCTTTTTAAGGTTGATTTTACGGTCTGTTGGGAGATGAAAAATATGAAAGTGAAAACGATAGCTTAAGGATACATTAGATGAGTTATCTTTGTGTCTCATTACCGCAAACAAATACATACTTTGCTGACCTGAAACGTTTCAAAGCTAGAATATCTTCAAAATGATATTAATATTAAAAGGTAAAAAGGTAAAAATATAATCAGTTCTTCCGCACTTATTTCGATGACAAAAACTGTTTTGCTCCTGGTATTTTAAGCCTATTGCCAGGCCAGCTTACTGAACTCTTTCTTTCTTCTTCTCATCACGTCAGGCTCGAATTCCTTTATTGATAGACCGAATAGTTTGTTCTGTAAGTCCCTTCCCACCAAGAAAGCTCTTACACAGTCGATGATCTCGTGGGTCCTTCCAACCACCGTTGGCGAAGGCGTGTCCTGGTTCAAAATCCGCGTCCTGGTTATGCGTCAGTGACACCTCCTTGGGAAACAGGTACTCCTCGTTCTCTATCAACAAGTCGGTTACTTCACGTTTAATATTTTTGGAAGAACAACCTTCCACGTTTCTATGGAAACCGTGACATAAACCTATATGGAAAACTCTACCAGCAGAAGGCTGAAGAATGTTCAGCGATCCCGTCATGCACTTCAGGACAGTTTCCTGTAAGGCCCAGTCCCAGTTGTAGTCGTCGTATGTACAGAACACTTGCGAACAGGACCTGAAGTCTTGCCAGAAGTCCTTACTGAACGCCATTCCACGTCCGACGCCGACATACCATTTCTGTTGTCTTATAATGTTGGACATTCCTTCGTACGACCAGGTAGGTATTTCATCATAATCTCCAAGAATCATCATGTTGTATTTGCCTGGTTCAGATCTTCTGATCTTATTCATTTCTTGTATAATATAAATCACGTCTTCTGCGACATAATAGTCTTCATCGAGTCTCAGGAATGTCCCTTCGAAGTTTTTGAGAATCCGGATCTCCTCTATGACATAGTGTAGTTGCCATAGCCAATGGTGCTTCATCTGAGCGACCTTGGCTTCCCTGTAATGACCATAACTGTCCGGATTATAAGCATTGTTGCACTTCCGCTTCCGGGCCGCCATCAAAGTTATGTTCCAAGGACAGTCATTGGGGTGCTGCCCGGGGAAGCTAGACGGATAATTTTGAATGGAATACGGGTAGAATATTTGCAGAACTGGGAACGCCTGAATATCATTTATAATAGTATTGATGTCCTTGGAATACATATCATGACTAAATATGACCAAACATTTATTGATGTACCTTGCCCTTTCTAAAGATTCAATGAGGAACCGGAGTTCCTCAATCCTCTGATGAACCTGTATTACAATCACAACACTCTCCGAGTCCAGATCCAGGCCGAGGCGTTCCCCATTGCGCACAAGCTGCTGCAGGTTTATACTCTCAATAAGCTGTTTCAGCTCTTCGGGGTTGCTGATGTTGAGAGGTCGAGGGGAGGTAACTCTGCGAACACCTACTTGAATGTCAACGGTATCACCAAGGACTTTGTTGATGAGTGTATCCATCACTCTAGATCCATCTGCACCCAGGGAATAAAACACGAAGTACATTTCCCACACCACGAATACAAGCAAACAAAACAAGATTGTTTTCTGAAAACATTTTCTTCGTACTATAGCCATGGTGTCAACTTCACAGCCAAGAAGGGAGTCCGCATCCTATGTATGTCCCCAGCCGTGGAATTCGGGTCCCAGTTCTTCGAACTCACGTAACGCACCTGTCAGTGCGGTGTGAAATATACGTAAATCGCAGCCACGGTCAAACGCCACAATGAACTGCAACCCCACAGCACTTGTTAAATCTCTGTAAGACGACACTCTAGCTGGCTTGCCAGTGAATATTCCAATGCATTTTTCATGAGGTAGTGTCAATATACCTTAGGGAAGGAATGATATGAGCATCTGGAAGCGAATTACTGATTTCATCTACGACATAACAAGGTTCCCTGCCAAACACGACTATGTATAACTAACTTCAATTCGACATTGCTGCGTCTCCAAACTATCTTGCCGACAGAGCGAGTCTGTCCACACGGTAGAGGGTGGTTGGAGACGTCTTTGATTTCATTGCAGAACGTGTGTTGACACTCGATATACCCGGTCCAACTAGTCAATAGGGTCAAAGGGTGGTGTGATAAGATTTCACCTCCTATCTTTTCCCAATAATGAATACTGTTACGATTAAGCCGATTTGAATGTGTGACCTTTCGCTATCGACAGTCCGCTGTCACAATCTGACATCAGGCAACGTCCCAGTGTGCGTTTTGGGGTATGGAATGCATCCCGTTCAAGCTTACTATCCTATTATTGTTGTCACAGAGATGCTCAGCCAACATACGTAGTGCACACACGATACGGTAAAAACTACTTATTCGATGATTACCATTGGCACGTGAATTACGAGCTAAAGGTCACGTTTCAGTCTAAAGGTCTCGTTATTTTGATACGAATGCAGCGTTCCTAAATAATTCATCTAGATATTGAGTATTATTTGTGAACAAATATATAACTTTGTAGTAAGCAGGATTTACATTTTCTGATTAGGCTTTAATTATTTCAGTAACAAGCAAGGCTGGGACGGGTAACTTGGGTATTCGGGCCGGGTGGGTCCTGACTAGGACCCGGGTACCCACAGGACTACCCGGACCCGTCATTAGTCACGCGATATATTGTTTAATGACAAAAATTAACCAAAACTCTATGGTTTTATCGAAAGTCACTAATGTTCCCATTTTTATATGTTTGAATAAAGATAAAACTTCAGTGTATGCATGACCAGATCGTTTTACACGTGTGTCTATATACATTTTGTCAGGGCTAAGATCAAACTCGGACAGTTTGTACCTGTCTCTAAATATCTACAGCGGGTACCCTGGTAAAGAACTGACGGATATAACAAACTGTTTCTGGGTCCCGTCCATTTTCTGCATATATGTTGTACATATGCTTATAACGAACTACGGTTATAACAAATTATAATTTGAGTTCGCGCGCGTGTGTGTGGTCCCTTTGAGTTCGCGCGCGCGCGCGTTCGGCGTGCGGCGTGCGGCGTGCGTGCGTGCGTGCTAGTGTGTACAGTGTACTGACTTCGAGCCGACACGTCCTTGTTTGATCCCGTTAGTGTCGAGCTCCAGACAGGGTAACAACAAGTACCATCTTTTATGAAGCGGCCGGGAACGGAACCCTTGACCTTCCACTCCAGGCGGGTTTGGGTGTTAGGTGGGGATTGGTTGGACCTTGTTTATTGCATTGTTCCTTCTGCGGATAGTTCAGAGGATAATATGATCTGATATTGTTCAATGATATGATATATCATTGTTTGAATAAGTGAGTCAGTGAGTGAGGTGGGTTTTAAGTCGCTTTGAACATTTCGGTAATATCAAGGCGTGTCTGCTTAGTGCGGAAGTGATGCATCAAGTAGCGCAGGCCATACGGGTTGACTACTTTGATGAAACCAACGAGTGCGGGAACGATGCTGACAAACTAATGGGCACAGGCACACACAAGGGCCATAACTCTGCTAACCGAATTGTGGTTGCTTAGACTCCTCCCCACCTCGCAACACTCACCAATATATTTACTATTCATATGGCTGTTGTTTGTTTGTTGTTTAACGACGCACTTAGCAATATTCCAGCTATATGACGGCGGTCTGGAAATAATGGAGTCTGGACCAGACAATCCAATGATTGACATCCTGAGCACAATGATTGGACACAATGGCATGCATCAACCAAGTCAGCGAGCCTGATCACCCGATCCCGTTCGTCGCCTTATCGTCACCTTATACGCAAGCATGAGTTGCTGAAGACCTTTTCTACCCCGGATCTTCACGGGTCCATGTGACTGTTGACTCACAGTGTGCAGGATTCGACAAACGTACTTTTTCAGATGGACCATTATGGACCAGTTTTACAGAACAATCAATCTTCCCACAGGATACTTTCTGAACAGCTACACAAAACCAAAGTAAGTGTCCATGTCTCCTAATTCAAGTATCTTGAGATTCGAGCCCTCGATTACCGGATCCTGGCCCGGTGTGGGACCCAACTCTGCACAGAGCAAGCTGGTACCATAAATAACTGGGCCGTCCGTGCTCACTGATCTGTTTGAGAATGGCTATCTCTTGTAACTATAAAATTATAAAACTTTGCATCTGTGCTGAGGACAAACTGTGTCGCGAATTACTGTAAGTGTACGTGGTCGCATGCTCGCTTGTGTGTTTATTCCGAAGGTCATTAAGAATACGTATGTGCAAAACACACGCATCGCATGTTGGTAGGACAATAATTCTAAAGTATCAATTTATATATGAATCTAAGGATTCAAGGTCACTGTAAAAAATAACAAACAATGCATTTTTCTGCTTTTAATATGTTTATTGTTCTTGCAAGTCCCTCACGTTTGAAGCGAGAGGTGGACACCTGCAGCAGGAACTCCCGGCCTAGCCCTTCACCTGGAACAGTTGATAATGCACGTGTATTGAGTCAACTTTGGAACAGGGTGACTGCGTCATTGGAGATCCAGCATACGCAGTCTGGTGATCTGGAAAGACTGTACTAAGAAAGTGTTATCCCAACTATAACATTAGTAACATTTGACCACTTTCTGAATGGCATTGTGTATTCATAGCTTTCGGCTATGGGAGCCGTGCCAATTTACACTTGCCAGAGGGGTACACAAAGTACGTGATCTAGACTACCAGTTGTCGGACTTTCATTTTTTGGGGGGAAGCCTCGGTGGCTGAGAGGATGATATCACTGACTTTGTGTGCTGCCGATTAGGTGCCTCACTCTGACAGTGTGTGTTCCAATCCCGGACGGAACTCAACCCAAAATGTACGAGAATCTGTACTTTACTAAGAAAGTATTATCCCAAGTATAACATCAGTTACATCTGGGGAGATGATGAACCTATTGGTTTTGTCTGATGGAGGCATGATTTCGAGGGACTGTTGAAAAGTTCCTACTACTAAGGATGTAAATCTCACGTTAAAAAGTTTGCGTGTATACAGTTTGCGAGTACAATACTTCCCATGCTTATAGGCTGCATTTGAACCAAATACACATCCAGGCAGCGTATGTCTGCAGGCATCGAAGTGCTTAGTTATTCTGATGCAACTGGACACAAATTGGCCACCACGCTCAAAGGGTCAACTTCAACAGCCATCAATGCGGACATGGTATCAACTTTAAGGGATGATGCTCCCCCTTTGCCATTTACGCTATGGTGGACACCCCTTGGAAGAAGTCTTCTACACAAGTGGGGTCCAGGCGCGCCTGCATCGTTGGCAGAAGCGTGTGGACCTCTGCGGGATTATGTTGAAAATGATATATTTTGCAACCAACTCCATCAACGCAATCCATATTATTACCTAGGAGGGCAAACATATCGGGGTAAATAAAAAATCACTTGTGTCCTCGGGTCATAACACGTCACGAGGCAACAGTGTATTGTTACCGTCATCTGGACAGCATTGTTAACGTCATTCGAATCTTATTGTGTCGTGAGGTCGGAATGACGTCACACTAGAAACGACGTCATGCTGAAGATTGTTAGAGTCATTCGACAGATTGTCGTTTTGTTGCTGTTTAGACGCCTCTGCCCTTATAGTTAAACACTAAACTTCGTCTCTGTATGTATACATCTTCTTCGGTAATAAATAGAACATTATATTCGTGTTCATGTCATACAATGTTTGCGACACTAAATTCCGGTATTTAGACACTCATGTCGTAAACATTGTATGACATAAACACTCATATAATATCCTCTATATAGTTATGCTCGGGGCATTAAGCCATCTCTCGTTGTTGGTTTTTTTGGTGAGTTCGTGATGAAGTCTCATAGGCTTGTCTAAAGGGAGCATATCACAGGTTCATCCAAATGGGTCTTCTCAAGGGCTTGTCTAAAGGGGCGTCTCTAAGGCTTGCCTAAAGTGGCATATCGTGGGCTTGTCTAAAGGGGCGTCTCAAGGGCTTGTCTAAAGGGGCATATCATGGGCTTGTCTAAAGGGGGCATATCAAGGGCTTGTCGGGAGGGGCATATCATGGGCTTGTCTAAAGGGAGCATATCACAGGTTTATCCAAATGGGTCTTCTCAAGGGCTTGTCTAAAGGGGCGTCTCTAAGGCTTGCCTAAAGTGGCATATCGTGGGCTTGTCTAAAGGGGCGTCTCGAGGGCTTGTCTAAAGGGGCGTCTCAAGGGCTTGTCTAAAGGGAGCATATCACAGGTTTATCCAAATGGGTCTTCTCAAAGGCTTTTCTAAAGGGGCATATCATGGGCTTGTCTAAAGGGGCTTCTCAAGGGCTTGTCTAAAGGGGCGTCTCAAGGGTTGTCTAAAGGGGCGTCTCAAGGGCTTGTCTAAAGGGGGCATATCAAAGGCTTTTCTAAAGAAGCAAATCATGGGCTTGTCAAAAGGGGCGTCTCAAGGGCTTGTCAAAAGGAAGCATATCATGGACTTGTCTGAAGGGGCTTTTCAAGGGCTTGTCTAAAGGGGCGTCTCAAGGGCTTGTCTAAAGGGGCGTCTCAAGGGATTGTCTAAAGGGAGCATATCATTGGCTTGTCTGAAGGGGCGTCTCGAGGGCTTGTCTAAGGGGCATATTAGGGGCTTGTCTCAATGGCCTGTCTAAAGTCGCATCTCATAGGCTTGTCTAAATTTAAGGGGGCGTCTCATGGGCTTGTCTAACGTCCAGCCCTAAAAGGCAGCAGCAAGAAGCACTGATACTCACTGGTCTCTGGCAGGTTCCGCTCCTCTTCCACGCAGAAGACCACCCTGTCCTTTTGCAGATAAGTCTTTTCTCGCACCTTAAAAAAAACGTTGACGTGACACGTTGAGTTCCAGAACATAGTCAATGTCAGCCAAATGTCCTACTGAAGTGACAGTGCAGTCTTCCCACTAGATGTCGCTCTCGCTCAAATGAGGATTTTGAAGGAACTATAACTTAAATACATGTACAACTATTTAAGTAGGACGCAGATGTGCACAACATTCCCACAATGGGTGCCGATATAAATACTCATACTCATACTCATAAATATAAGAATGACCGCCAAGGAACACACTTTGTCCCAGTTATCACCCAGCTTGTTGCATGTCATTGTAGGCCCTTTTCATGGGTGTGCTTTGTAAAAACCTCGAACAGATGACCCAAACGTTCTCAACAAGCGCAGTGTTATTTAGAACTACTGAATGGCCAGTTTTACTATCATAACAACTGAGTGGTCAGGGTATTCGATCCTAACAGGGTACGTGTATGATATTGAAATGTGGGCAGACAGGACTGAATTCAGAAAGGACATTTTCTCGCTTTGACGATTTCTGATGGGGTCGTCGGGTAGCCTTGTGGTTAAAGCGTTCGCTCGTCACCCCGCGGACCTGGGTTCGATTCCCGACATGGGTACAATGTGTGAAGCCCATTTATGGTGCCCTCCGCCGTGTTAGTGCTGGAATATTGCTAAAAGCGGCGTGAAACTAAATTCACTCACTCAATCGTTTTCTGATAGTTTCGATAGATAATGTATAAACAGGAAATGACGTCATGTTTGTGTTACAGGTTATGTGGTTGATGAAACATATTGATTGAAGACGTCATGAGTCTCATATCACATATCATACCACACGAGCTGAGGTAAAAGAAAATCAACCTTTGGTTTAGTTTACATAATTTATAGATACAATGTAGACCGAAAGATTACTTGGGTGAGCGACATGTTTAACGCGGCTTTGAACAGGATGTCAGTTATATCCCGCCCAGTCAGCTTAAGCGGTGCAGGTCTTGGCATATTATCATGTAGAGAGGAAAGTTCAAAGTGACGCAGGTCACGTCAGGTCAGGTCAGGTGAGATGGGGTTTAACGTCGCTTTCAAGATGATCATGTGCCAGCACACTGAGATACCATACCGTAGTTTAACATGGATACTCCCCACAGACACAGTATACTGACTCCGAGCCGCCAAGTCTTCAGTATGTCCCCTTGATGTCGAACGTCAGGCAGGGTAACAAGAACTACCATCTATAAACCTCATTCTGTATGAAGCGGCCGGGGATCGAACCACCGAGCTGCCGCTGTCCGGGCAGACGATTGACGGAGGTGAGAGACGTATACCACAACGGTAATAACGTCTTGTGATCTAAATCATGATAGTTCAGAGGCAAGAGGCCCTTATATATGGCAGAGTCATTTTTGTTATTCAAATATGAAATTAGCCACACAGTTACTGTGACCAATAAAAATTTGTTTCAAGACGTGACCCCAACCAAATGATTTACGTCTGGCGATCCTGACGGCCAATTTGAAAAAATGAAAAGATAAATAAATAATTTTAGTGTCTTTACCTATGTTTTCGTGGTCAAGGAATCTGATTATGACCAAATAAATCATGTAAAATGTTGAGTCACCCATTTTATTTCAAACTTGACAACAATTTTGCGTTAAATTTACATAAATATCTCAGGTGTACGTGCATATTTAGGTGCGTCAAGTTTTCCAAAGACGAAATTATCAATTTTGATTTTGGAATGTTCTGCGTTGCCACATGCACACTGACCCTTGTCACTGATAATATGTTAACTGGCAGAGATATACCGTATTTCCTCTATTAGACGCCAGACCTCCAACCTCCAACTTCCGCCGGCGTCAAACTGACGCCAGATCATATGCTCCATAAACGAATGATGTTTTTGATGTATGAAAGTTGTCTACATTGATGAAAGTACGAGCCACTACCAGAAACTATATGTCAGTACAGAAATCACATGGAGCCTTCCCTTCTGTGTACCGAATAGTGATACCAGACCCATAACAGTCAGAACGAATCAGTTTCACAACAATGCAATAAAGCAAGCAATATGAACAGAAAGTTAACCAGTATTATTTCATAATCAAAACTCCTTGTTGATTTTTCAAGAAGCCCTGTCATTTACTTATATTGTGCAATGTTGACAGTTTGTTAATTGGCTCCCCTCCAAGCTACCAGTCAATTCGTCAATTCATTACACCAACAGGAGCGTATTGCAACTCTGTCTTTCTTGCACATAATGTGAACAGATTTGATTCTCAAATCGTTAAATGACTGATTGGTTTACAACAGGTTGGGTCCTTTTACAAGTATATCACAATTTAGAACGAAATGGAAAAGAAATATGAAAAAAACAATAATAAATTAAATCATGAATATTAAATGAACATAACGCTTCAGTTTTACAGGTAATAGCTCATGCTTGTGTCGAAAAGTGCACAATTGTTTGCTAAGCCTGTTGACTATGAGTGTTGCAGATGTTGCCATTAGCACGCTTCGTCTGATAACACATTTGAAACAGTGTGTATCCGGGACTACACTATACCGTCACCTGCTGTGTTTGGAGCGGCCAGAGGCTATGTACAATGCAAGTGATCAATTAATATTCAAGAAGCAAACAGTTCCCTTTTGTTTGATTTTTAGTTGTTATGACCGCACATAGTATGGGTCTTATAACCATGTAAAGTATCAGTGTTGTAACCGAATATAGTATCAGTGTTACAACAGTAGACAGCATCAGTTTTGTAACCGTATATAGTAACATGTTACAACCGAAGAGCATCAGTGTCATACCCTTCTATAGTATCAGTGTTATAGCCATATATACTATCAGTGTCATTACCTTTTTATCAGTGTTATACCCATATATAGTATCAGTGTTACAACCTTATATAGTATCAGTGTTAAAACCTTATATAGTATCAGTGTTACAACCTTATATACTATCAGTGTTACAACCTTAAATAGTATCAGTGTTCAACCTTATATACTATCAGTGTCATTACCTTTTTATCAGTGTTATTTCGATATATAGTATCAGTGTTACAACCTTATATAGTATCAGTGTTAAAACTTTACATACTAACAGTGCCATTACCTTTTTAACAGTGTTATATCGATATATAGTATCAGTGTTACAACCTTATATAGTATCAGTGTTACAACCTTATATAGTATCAGTGTTACAACCTTATATACTATCTGTGTTATTACCTTTTTATCAGTGTTATATCGATATATAGTATCAGTGTTACAACCTTATATAGTATCAGTGTTACAACCTTATATAGTATCAGTGTCACAACCTTATATACTGTCAGTGTTACAACCTTATATACCATCAGTGTTATAACCTAATATACTGTCAGTGTTACAGCCCTATATAGTATCAGTGTTACAACCTTATATACTATCAGTGTTACAACCTTATAAACTGTCAGTGTTACAACCTTATATACTATCAGTGTTACAACTTTATATACTGTCAGTGTTACAACCTTATATACTGTCAGTGTTACAACCTTATATTCTATCAGTGTTACAACCTTATATACTGTCAGTGTTACAACCTTATATAGTATCAGTGTTATAACCTTATATACTATCAGTGTTACAACCTTATATACTGTCAGTGTAACAACCTTATATACTGTCAGTGTTACAACCTTATATACTATCAGTGTTACAACCTTATATACGAAATACCACGCCTGTCCGAAAATGAGCGTCTGCGAGCCGATGATGTACTTGAAGCAGGATCGAGTCAACGTGATGTTGCAAGACAATTTAACGTCCACAGAAACACCATTTGGTGTTTATGGCAACGTTGGCAACAGACGAATGCAGTCAGAGACCATCCTCGGAGTGGCAGGCCACGCGTAACCAATAATCGACAAGACAACTGGATTCGAACAACAAATCTACGAAATCGATTCCAGCCAGCAACAGTGACTGCAAGAAGCATCCCTGGCCCGAATATCGTATCGACCCTACGTCGTCGCCTTAGATATGCAGGGATTGTCTCATATTGCTCGACTTGTTCAGAATTCTCTTCAACAAAACAACGTAAAAACGTCATCCCCTGGCCGACTCGCTCCCCTGATCTCTCACCAATCGAGCACATGTGGGATGAAATTGATCGGCGCCTTCGACGTCAACCACGTGTTCCACAGACACTCCAGGACTTTGAAACATGCTCCAGCAGAAATGGACAGATATCTCACAGGACTTTGTGCGACGCCTGGTCCATTCCATGAGACGAAGATGAGTTGCTTGCATCGCAAACCAGAGGTGGACACACACGCTAATGATTTGTAAATTGACATTTTGGCATGTTTATGTGTTGTTTTTTTATGAACCATTTGAACACTTACAGGAGTCTTTTATCTGTTGCAAACCGAAATTGTTTCAGATTTGGTAAAAAACATTACTTTGCATTAAATCGTATTCAATGTCACAGGTACTTTTGTTGTTCAGTACACTATCAGTGTTATGCTCTTATTTAGTATCAGTGTACTAATCTAAAAAAGTACAACCTTATATAGTATCATTATGATAAATTTATATAGTATCAGTGTTGCAAGGTTATATATTATCAGTGTTACAACCTTAAATAATATCAGTGTTGTGAACTTATATACTATCAATGATATTATCTTATTACCTTATATTGATTGTATGTATATACCTTGATTGTTTCTTATGTAGTATGTGTTATAACGTCTTAGTATACCGTTTTATAACATTATTATTATGATGATGATGATGATGATGATGATGATGATGATGATGATGATATTAACCTATCAAAATAAGTGGTGTAACCGTAGATAGAATCAGTGTTGTAACTTTATATAGTATCAGCGGCTGGGATTTGCGGCGTCTTAGACGACCCGAGCCCTCGTGATTTACTTTAGGGAGACCCGTGGAGATCCGGGGTAGAATCGGTCTTCAGCTACCCATGCTTGCTGTGAAAAGCGACTATGCTTGTCGTGAGTGGCGACTAA